GCGCAAGTGAAGATCAATATATATGCTTTTCCGACTTCGCCCGAATCTCGTTTGTAACGGAAAGGGCCACAGAAGTCGGCCAACGTGTGGCGGAATGGTGGACTTCTCTCGATCCGGAATGATGGTAATGCCGGTGTGGGAAGCTGCGCTGCCTTGCTGTTGAAAATCTTGCATAACTGGCATTTGCTAATGATTTTTCTGCTGATACGCCGAGCGTGTACCAATAGGAAATCTTCCCTGAGGGCGTGGAGTATTGCTGAGACTCCACCTGAATGGAAGCATCTGTTTTCGTGAATATCCTTCACGATTAGTGACGACAGATTAGAGTCCGCTGGAAGTAATATTGGATATTTTTCATCTTCCGTGAGGTCGCGAGATCGCTCCAATCTGGTTCTGCATCTGATGAAGCCTTCTGAGTCTGAGAATGGCGTGTATTGATAGAGAACGCTCGTCTTCTTTACATTCGTGCAGCGGTTCTCGTATTCTTCCGCGAAGTGTGTTTTCTGAACAAGCTGTATGAGGCTTGATTTCGCTGAAATCATTTCCGAGGCATCGATTTCATTGAACTTTCTTCTTGCTGGCGTCGGCGCCGCCTTCTCTTTATTGAGTCCGCGTTGCCGAGCAAAACGAGCCTTCTCCTTTAGGCGTAACATGAGAGACCAGAAACGAACGCACTTCCGCCACGATGAAAATGTGTTCTCGAAGAAAATGTTGTCTTTCGAGACGGTGCGATCTCGTACCGCGCTCAAGCAAGTCGAGACCTTCGGTTTTCTTTCGGGATCTGAGACGGCTATATCGGTCTTCCGAGAGAGTGCAGCGTTTTCTCTGGCCACTTTCTGACCGAGTAGCTCTTCATCGTGTTGGAGCCATTCCGGTCCCGAGAACCAGAGCTTCTTCGTCTCCGGCCTGGAAATGTCGTATCCTCTTGAGATGATATCCGCCGGATTTTCGGCGCTTCTCACGTAGTTAAAACTTGCATTGTTCGTGAGCGCCTGTATCCGGCGGATTCTGTTTGCAACGAAGGGCCGAAAGCTTTCTGGCCTGGAGCGGATCCACCCGATCACGCTCGAATTGTCGGAGTAGTAGTGTGTTGAGATAGGCGGCGGGTTTATTGAAGCGATGATGTTTCTTGAAAGCCGAGCTCCGATGAGCGCTGCCAGTAATTCAAGTCTGTGAATCGTTGACTGTTTCACCGGAGCTACTCTCGCTTTCGCCGCGACGAACGAGATTTTTGGTCTTTCGCCGGGCGCTACTTCTCGGATGTACACGACACATCCAAAGCTCTTCAGTGATGCGTCACAGAACACGTGGAGCTGGTACGATTTCTTTCTCGCGGATTGGGGAAACATGTGTCTCGGGACGGTAAGATTATTTGCTTCCTCTATTAAACTTATGAAGGAGCGATAATCCTCGGCTTGTCCGTCTTTGAGGACTGAGTCCCAGCCGAGCTTTGCTTTCCACAGCGTCTGCAGGAGAATTTTCGAA